GTTTTTGTGAGCTACTTCAAGTCTCGCCTGTATCTGTTCCTGTTGGGGACTCAACTAGAAAAAGAAGCTTCTATAAGTATTCTTTCTTTCTTCAGTTTACTTTTCAAACCCGCATTTTATTTTCAGTTGTGTAACTTGCCTTGAAAATCGCTAGTTGAGCTTGTCTCGCCTTTATCTGTACCTGTTAAGGAATCAATTTAGAAAAAGAAGCGTCAATGAGTTACCTTTCTTCCTCTAGCGAATTTTTAATCCCAGGGTTATATTTCATCTGTTCGTTTAGTCGAAAGCTTCCTTTTGGATAGTTTTTTAAACCAAATAAAACACTGCCCAGAAGACAATAAAAAACTGAACTTTTTTTGAAATTTGTTTATCTGACTTTCACTGATAACAAGTCTGGTTTAGTTGTTTTCATGGTAAAGTACTTGTACTTAGGTCATTAAATTCAATTCATATGCACGTACTAGATGCGGTACTTGTAGTCAGTGATGAAAAAGCTGCAAACAAGAAAATAAAGCAATGATTTGCAAACCATAACTTTCATAGAAGCCTTATGTACTTATGTACTTGTTACGGTGTGTAGTCATTAATAGTTCGGTCAAAGCAGTTTTATGAACAGATTTCAAAAACATCAAAAAGGCCTTCAAGGTAACAATATTCTCTTAAACCAGCAATAGTCTTCTCAAGAAAAAAAGGTGACAACCGATATAAACTGGTAGAAAAGGAACAACAGTTGCCGACAAGGGCATTTCACTTTCAGTTCTTCAGGGTATGGTTCCTTTGATTTGAAACATACCTGCATTGTCTGTCACCCTTTAGATGAAAACAGAAAAGGTATATCTATATATTTTCAAATTGCAACGTTTTTTAAACGTGTGTATGTATTTTTAATTCACAAGAATGTATGACATTTTTGGACTCCAGATACTCCCACTTAAGCACACCTATATGTACATTTCATTATATAAATTGATTTAGGCGAGGTCATATTAAAATTCGTTCAAACGAGCAATATCCTTTAAATTGTGTATCTTTACCTTTATCAAGTTCACCCAATATTTCAGCATCAGGTAACGCCTACTTGTGTGGGCAGATGTCGAGCTTGTTGTTCTGCTCCAAAACTTATTCGACTTCCCCACGCAACCAACAACTTTGGAGGTGATGAAATGCCTTATAGTGGCATCGGTTATCACTGGGTCGATACCAGTTACCCCCATGTGCCTAGCTAAGGAAGGCACATCAAAGGCTACAGCTTCCCCACAGCCACATCGAGCGGGCTTTAGAACTATGAATCTCCATGACGAACAAACATTTATCAACTTTCTTTGTTCCCCAGTTTTACATTAGTAAACTCACCGTTTTGGATACAAAAACCAGGAGGGAGTAGGACACCAAGGCTCTCTGATCTATGACTAACTCTTGATCGTCTGCCATCTCTACCAGACGATCCGTAAAATGGTCAATGTCGCCATCAGTGGCTGTGGCAACTCCTGCCTCGTGAATGCAGTGACAACTGCTACACTTGCGCTTGCATCGGTCATGGCATTTTCTAAAAGTTGATACCTGTCTCTGTACGTTTTAGACCTGTACAGAGGGTCTAGTGTTTCGAATGGAATTCTCACCCATCAAGATAATACCCTACGAGAAAGAACATGTATATATAAATAAAAATTTCTGAAATTTCCCAGTTTGACGTTTACATTGGTAGATAAGTGTTACCGTGCTGGAATAACATGAAACTGAAGTGAGTAACTGCTTTTAGTATAGACCACAGTTGTTGAATTGAAAGCGAATCAAAAAACTTCTCTATTCTTGTAAAATGTAACCAGAATTTTCAATCTAGCGCTCGTTTCTTGGCAGGTGAATACTACTCGGCTATAAACCTTCGAGCGAGACAATCAGCTCACAAAGAGAGCTCTATTCAATTGCGTGGCAATGCAGTGTCTATTATGAGCATGAATGTACAACATTATTTTCTTACTTGAGTGTTTTTCCGTCAACATTTGTTGTCATGATGGGGAATATTCTAGGAATTTTTCTCCCGAGGTAACTCTTGGTGCCACCCTTGATAAATAATTAATATTATTATTAATAATCGAACCATTTGATAATACTAAGGAATCTACACTTGTCTCAACATTTAAAAAAGAACATATTAAAGTGTAATATCCCAAATCAGATATAGAACAAGAAACCACCAAAAATAGGGAAACCCATTGAAATAGCTAAGATACAAATTGAAGGCTTACTTGCTTAAAGAGGGCTATTGCAACTTGCTTCATTGTCGCATTTTTTTCACAATCATCCCAACCAAATGGAATGGATGTCTTGCAAACGGCATCCATTATCGCCTTGAAAGTCATTACTTAAAAAAAAAGTATTCAATACAGATTAATGAAAAGCACACATCTCCTACAACCTAGTAACGTAAACCTGGAAAACTATCAACTTTATTGTTGTCATTGTCTCAGATGGCACCTGCATATGCGAGACCATAGAACTTAAGATCAAAGATTTAGAATTAAATGTTTGTGATTTTGGTCTGTGGTTTGAATCGATTAAAAAATTTTTTTTCTATGAAACCTCATACTACCTAGTAGCAATCAATTAATCTTCCATGCTGACTGGGGAACAGTCCTCTGAGACTCCTCCTTCGGCTATTCATTGATAAAACCTCCCCACTGGGACGAATGCAGTTAAAAGAAAAAATAGAGCACGACATACCTTGTACAATATCTGTATTGCCAACAACAGAAAGAGCAGCTTTTAGTGCCGTCGTTTTGGCAGATTGTGGGGCTCCAAATAAGACAGGTAGAGTACATCCACCGAACTTCTTGACGACAAGGTCATAATTGGCCCCAATGGCGACACATGCGATGGTCATAAGACCTTGAGGGAAATTATTAGCCAGCAGATTTTGTTCAGCCAAAATAAGATTCTGCAGAGCTTCCCCGTCATCAATGGCTACAACATCACAAGAATTAGAACAAATGCAATTATTTTGCTGCTGTCACTATTTTAAGTGCATGTATATGTTATGTTAAGATTACTACTCATCTTCAGATTTTCTTCATTATCTAGATTTAAGATTTTTCTGGTGGCAATGCATCGATGGGTATAATATTGCGCTGATAGAACTAGATATGCCTTTATTTGTGTAAAAGGTACCTTTGCGTAGATTATGCATGTAAGTCCTGAGTAACATACTTGTTATTACGGTCAAAACAGGAAGGGATGTATCATCCAAAAGGATGTAATTCTGTGAATCCCTTGGAATGACACTTCCGGTATCATCAATGTGGATCGACTTGTTCAGGACCCAAACATCTGTGGCTTGCTTTCCAATCACCCGGAACAATAACATTCCAACAAATCAATTGATATATAAAAATGAAAACAAACAGATATTTCTCTACATTTGTACCAAAAGTAGAAATTAAGACTGCAAATCAAACTGCGTCGACTATAGAAAGTTGCAATTCATTCGCTATAGTTACTATGTTAATTTTTATATCTAGTTAATGAAAAAAAAAAACATTTGCACGTGGCGAGCATCAGCACCCCTAAGCTAGTCACTGAATAAGATAAATGGGTATCGCAATATACTGGCAATACAAATTACCGAAAACTGGTATCATTTTCCGCCGCTCTTCGCGTGGTTTTTTCATGTAGGCCTTACATAGTCCATACAAGTATTGCGAAAGGAAAGGGTCCTTTGTTTTCTGGATCCATACTGCATCGCTTTTGAATGCATTTATGCTTAACAAGGGTAGATAGGGGTAAACGTG